TTATGCAGATTTAATTCAATCTCCGTCAAAATCCCATCAGCATTTTTAAAGAAATGGAACAAAAAATCATCAGATTTGTATGGATGTACAAAAGACCCCGAATTGGCAAAGCTATCCTGAGAAAAATGACTGAGGCTGGAGGCATTACTTTACTCGACTTCAAATTATATTACAAAGCGATAGTAATTAAAATGGCGTGGTATTAGCAGCAAAACAGACACACGGACCGGTGGAACAGAATCAAGAGTCCAGAAATAAACCCATATTTATTTGGGCAAATAATTTTTGACAAAAAAGCCAAAAGCATACAGTAGAGAAAGGAGAGCCTCTTCAATAAATGGTGCTGGGAAAACTGGAAAACCACCTGCAAAAGAATGAAACTAGACTGTTGTCCTTCACCACACACCAAAATTAACTCATAATGGATTAAGGACCTGAATAGAAGACCTGAAACAATTAAATGCATAGAAGAAAACATAGGGACTAAATTCAAGGACCTTAGACTTAAAGAGGATTTTATGAATTTGATCTCAAAAGCAAGGTAAGTAAAAACTAAAATAAATGAATGAGACTATATCAAACTAAAAAGCTTCTACTCAGAAAGAGAAATGGTAAAGAGAGAACCATTCGAGTGGGAAAATATATTTGCAAGCAATGCCTCCGATAAGGGCCTAATATCCAAAATATACAAAGAACTTATATGACTCAATAACAACAAAAAAACAAATGATCCAGACAAAAATTGGGCAGAGGACCCGAACAGACACTTCTCCCTAGAGGACATACAAATTGTCAACAAATATATGAAAAGATGCTCAACATTGCTAGCTATTAGGGAAATGCAAATCAAAACCACAATGAGATATCATCTCACACCTGTTAAAACAGCTATAATCAATAGGACAATAACAAATGCTGGAGAGGATGTGGAGAAAGAGGAACCCTCATGCACTGCTGGTAAGACTGCAAATTGGTACAGCCACTATGGAAAACAGTATGGAGGTTCCTCAAAAACCTAACAATTGATCTACTATATGATCCAGCAATCCCTCTACTGGGTATTTACCCCAAAGACTTGAAAACTCATTATCTGAAAAGATATTTGCACACCCATGTTCATAGCAGCATTATTCACAGTGGCCAGGACATGGAAGCAACCAAAGTGTCCTACAATAGATGATTAGATAAAGAAGCTGTGTTACATATACACAATGGAATATTACTCAGCCATAAGAAGAGATGAAATACTACCGCTTGCAACAACATGGATGGACCTTGAAATAATCATACCAAGCAAAATAAGCCAGACAGAAAAAGTTAAAAATCACATGCTATCACTTATATATGGGATATAAACCTAAAAGCAACAAATGAACAGGACTAACAAACAGAGACTCATGGACATGGACAATGAACTAGTGGTTACCAGAGAGTAGGGGAAAGCAGGGGGAGTGGGGGAGGTAGATGTGGGAAAAATTTTTTAATCATTTATTCAATTAAATAATTAAATTTAAACAAATAAATAGATAAAATAGAGTCTAGAAAAACAATATAAAGATCAATGAAACTAAGAGCTGGTTCTTTGAAAAGATAAACAAAATTGATAAACCTTAACCAGACTCATCAAGAAAAAAAGAGAGAGGACCCAAATAAATAAAATCGGTAATAAAAGAGAAGTAACTACAGACTCCACAGAAATACATACGATCATATGAAAATACTATGAGCAATTATATGCCGACAAATTGGACAATCTGGAAGAAATGGACACATCCCTAGAAACATACACTCTCCCAAGGCTGAGTCAAGAAGAAACAAAATCTGAACTGACCAATTATTACCAAAACCAAATCAGTAATCAAAAAACTTCCAAAAACAAGTGTCCTGGACCAGATGGCTTCATAGGTGAATTTTACCAAACATTCAAAGAATTAACATCTATCTTCTCAAACTATTTCAAAAAATTCAAGAGGAGAGAAGGCTCCCTAAATCCTTTTACAAGCCCACCATTACACTGATTCCAAAAACAAAGACATTACAAGAAAGGAAAACTATGTATAGGCCAATATCCCTGATGAACATTAATGCAAAAATCTTCAACAAAATATTAGCAAACCGAATTCAGCAATACACTCAGAGTCATACACCATGATCAAGTTGGATTTATTCCTGGGATGGTTCAGTATTCGTGAATCAATTAATGTGACACACCACATTAATAAATTGAAAGATAAAAATCATATGATCGTATCAATAGATGCGGAAAAAGCATTCGACAAAATCCAGCACCCATTTATGATAAAAACTCTCAGCAAAGTAGGAATAGAGGGAATATATCTCAACATAATAAATGCCATATATGACAAACCTACAGCTAACATCACATTCAATTGGGATAAGCTAAAAGCATTTTCCTTAAGATCAGGAACAAGACAAGGATGCCCACTTTCACCACTTCTATTCAACATAGTACCAGAAGTCCTAATTATAGCAATCGGACAACAAAGAGAAATAAAAGGCATCCAAATTGGAAAGGAAGATGTAAAACTGTCATCATTTGCAGATGACATGATACTATATATAGAGAACACTAAGGATTCCACCAGAAAACTGTTACAACTGTTCAATGAATTCAATAAAGTAGCAGGATGCAAAATTAATATTCAGAAGTCAGTGACATTTTTATACACCAGTGATGAACTTTCAGAAAGAGAAATTAAGAAAACAATCCCATTTACAACTGCATCAAAAACAATAAAATACCTAGGAATCAAATTACCTAAGGAAGCAAAGATGCTTTTGGAAAATTATAAATCATTGAAAAAAGAAATTAAAGAAGATAAAAATAAATGGAATCGTATACTGTACTCATGGGTGGGAAGAATCAACATTGTTAAAATGACCATACTACCCAAAGTAATCTATAGAATCGATGCAATTTCTATCAAAATATCAATGGCATTTTTCAGAGAACTAGAAAAAATAATCCAAAAATTTACATAAAATCATAAAAGATTCCAACAGAAACAGTAATCTTAAGAAAGAACAAATTTGGAGGTATCACAATACCTGATATCAAACTATACTATAAGGCTATGGGAATCAAAACAGCATGGTACTGGCATAAAAACAGATGCATGGATCAATGGAATAGAATAGAGAGCCCAGAAATAAATCCATGCTTATATGGTCATTTAATCTATGACAAAGGAGGAAGAATATACAATGGGGGTGAAGACAATCTCTTCAACAAATGGTTTTAGGAAAATTGAACAGATATATGAAAACAAAATGAAACTGAACTACCTTCTTACACCATATACAAGAATAAACTCAAAATGAATTAAAGACTTAAATGTGAGACCCCAAGCCATAAAACTTCTAGAAGAAAACATAGGCAATAAACTCTCTGATATTGCTATTAGTAATTTTTTTTATGATATATCTCCTCGGGCAAGGGAAACAAAGGAAAAAATAAACAAATAGGACTACATAAAACCAAAAAGTTTTTGCATAGCAAAGGAAATCATCCAAAAAAACAAAAATACAACCTACCGAATGGGAAAAGATATTTGCTTGTGATACATCTGATAAGGGGCTAATATTCAAAATATATAAAGAACTCACACAACAACAAATAACAAACGATCCGATTTAAAAATGGGCAGAAGGCCTCAACAGGCATTTCTCCAATTAGGAAATACAGATGGCCAGTAAACATATGAAAAGATGCTCAAGGTCATTAACCATCAGAGAAATATAAATTAAAACCACAATGAGGTATCACTTTACACCTGTCATAATGGCTATCATTAATAATTCAAAAAACAACAAATATCGGTGAGGATCTGGAGAAAAGGGAATGCTCGTACACTGTTGGTAGGATTGCAAATTGGTACAGCCACTATGGAAAAGTTTGGAAAATCCTCGAAAAATTTAAAATGGATCTACCATTTGACTTAGCAATTGCACTTCTATGTATTTATCCAAAGAAAACCAAAACACTAATTCATAAAGATCTATGCATTCCTATGTTCACGGTGGCACTATTCACAATAGCTAAGATATGGAACCATATCTTATGTCCATCAGTAGACAACTAGATAAAGAATTTATGGTTCATATATACAATGGAATATTACTCAACCATAAAAAATGAAATCTTACAATTTGCAACAACATGGAAGGACCTAGAGGATATTATGCTGAGTGAAATGTCAGAGAAAGATAAATACCATATGATTTCACTTATATGCAAAATCTAAGGAATGAAAGAAATGAAAAAACTAAACATAAACAAACTCACAGATACAGAGAACAAAGTGGTGATTGCCAGAAAGGAGAGAGGTTAGGGGTAAAAATGGTGGAGAGATGAAGAAGTGCAAATTAGTAGTTACAAAACAGTCACAGGGATGTAAAGTCTGGCACAAGGAATATAATCAATATTATTGTAATGGCTGTGTGTAGAGCCAGATACGTGCTAGAGTAATCAGAGGGATCACTTCATAAATTATATAAATGTCTAACCATTGTACTATGTACCCAAAACTAATATAAAAGAATTTTTAAAATGAAAAAAAAAAAAGATACAAGCCAGTCGAAAGAGCAGCCTCAGCAGTAGAGGGGCAGGAGAAACTTAAGAGAATACCACACTGGGTCAGGAATCCCCTGGAATTTGTTTTCTTTTTACCAATGCTCTGTTTTGCATATTTACAACCGAATTCTCTCAATATTTCTGTCTTTGTAAATAATTATTTTACTCTATGTTTAAAAAAGGAAAACATATCTGAACATTTATTTTGGCTGTTTTATTGTGATGTACAGCTGATAATGTCAGGTACTATTAGTTGCTATCTGACATACCAAATATAAGTAAACAGTGAAGCAGGCTCAAGACTCTGACCAAATTTGGAAAACAGAGGAACATGGCGGTAACCTGCAAAAGAAATCAGATCTCATTAGAACAATAATAATCAATTAATCACCAATGGCCCTGATAGTGCTACTGAGAAAAAAAATATCTTTAATGAGCACAAGCTAAAAACTACGTAGTTATATTCATCTTATATATTAGTTTTCCACAAAAAAAATAAAATATTTAAGTTTCTATTCTGACTTCTTCTTAACTGAGCACACAGCTCATGCTTCTCCTCCCTCAAAGTGCAGCATCTCCAAAATTAGCCACCACCCTTCTGCTTCGGACTCTGTTTCCTAGGTACCTCTCAGATGGTGTCAGAAAAGTAAACATTTTGAGACAAGGTAATTGGGAGTACAGTGTAAATCACCCCGCAAGGTGACTGCAACATAAAGGCAGCCCTGAAAAGAGTCAAGAAAGAATAGTCTTCGGCTCGCAGTCTCTTCTCCTCAGGTGGAAAAAAGGAGTCACTGCCTCTCCCTTCTCTTCGATTCCCGTCCTTCATTTCTTTATGGTAGTTGTGACTATTCTTAATTGAAACAAAAAAACTATGAGCCAGTAAAGAAATGCTCATACATGCCAAGTTTGTTGGATTAGTCTTCTTAGAGATTCTGCACCCCAATCTCACATTCCATATGAGAACACATTTCTGTAATTCCACTGAGAAAAAAACATGTGTCAATACATAAAATTCCCTTTACGTGGCTGTCATGGATAGAGAGAACTATTTGTTCTATCAAAGTTTGTCTTTGGTAAACTCAAGTTACATTTAAATGTCAGCATAATCATCTTACTTTTAGGAATATTACCTTTGCTCATGCATAGAACTGGTAAAGTATATTGCCCAAGAAATTCATTTCCTGTTAAAAAATTTTGATTTTCCACAACAAAACGTATCAATGCCAATTCTGGCACCTGAATAACAAATGTGAATGTTTCATTCCATCTTGGACTAAAAGCTGAAACATAAAGGAATAGATAGTATCAAAGAATCATAGACACTATTTCTAGGGAAATATGCATAATACCTGCTCTCCAAAATTTTTCTTTTCAACACTTCAATAATAATAGCTTGTTTTTAATAATAATAGCTTGAGTTTTTAATGCACCCATTAAGAAAATAATATTCACAATAACAATATTTATTGGGTGTGTTCACTATTGCTGGGCGGTATTCTAAGAACTTGAAGTAGATAATCTCATTTAATCCTCACGACAACCATATCAGGGTTATTACTCTCCACATTTTACATATGAAATAACTGAACCAAAAAGATGCTACATAACTTCCTAAGATAAAGTATATTGCCTTTACCTAGTCATTAATGGTGGGCAGAAATTCAAATAAATAGAGTCTAATTTCAGAGCAGAAATGTTTAATCATTATGCAATTCCATTAACAAAGAAGTTGGGACATGAAGAAGTAACATCATTTTTTTATAGCAGGTCCTATTATGAGTAGAGCTCATAATATAGCTTCAGTTGTTGGATTGAAAGCTAGATAATGAGTGCTCTAAAGCCAGCTCTTGACCTTTGTGACTAAGTGCTCGTTTTTAAAATCCAAAGGTGATGAGTAATTTAGGACTCCAGCAAAATAGATCATCCCAAATAAAAATCTCTTAACAAACGAGAAATCCAAATTGTGTCACAATGTAACCCAAATCATCCAATATTTAAGCATAATTTAATGGAATCAGGAAACTCACATCCAGATCAAATATAATGTACTTAATAAAAACTCAGAAGTCCTGAGATAAATAATATATATTGGTTTTCACAAACACAGGAAATGCTATGCCTGCTATGTCAATATTTTTTTTTTCCCAGCTTTTGTGTTTTGAGTTACATTTCCAGAAGCACTGAAGAATTTGTGGCTAATTACACTTTATCTATGTTTTCTATGGTGCATCTGTGTTCACAAGTGTATATTTACTGGCCAGAACTCCAGGATGCAGTCCATGTCTACAAAAATATTAAACTAATTGATTCAGGATGAAATAATGATGGTATTACCTTGCCCTAAGAAGAGAAATAATTTCATGAAGTACAGAAGCAGTTTTAAGAGTTGATTCTTTATAGACACTGCAAAATATCTGCAAAAAATTCTTATACTGATCTCTCTCTCTTGCATGCACACACAAACACGCAAAATCATATATGTTATATGAGAAAGTCCTTTTAGTTGTCAAAAAACAGTAAAACTGAATAGCAAATTTGATCATTATGAATACAGTTTTCCCTAGCATAACCAAAAATAATTACTTTCACAACTTATCCTAATGTGATCTTTTTTTCTCCCAGACTCTCATGTCTTTTATTACACTACTGTTAACCTGGTAGCTAAGCCCTCTTAGAATCCCTCTTGTCCAGCTATCTAAACTTTTGCTAGTCTTCCTAACATACATCCTCCATTCATTTTCTGATGCCACAGTCCTTTATGACCTGATTTCTACATCTTCTGTGAAATCATATCCTGACTCTATTTTGTATTTCTCATTTCCCTCTCATATACTTCTTCTTATCTAATCTGCAGAAACAATCTCCCTAAAGCTCAACTCTGTTAGTGTTATATCCCTGTTTAAATTTTTTAATTTTATTCATTTTCTACAGAAGAGAAAGTTCCTAACATCTTATCACAGCTTTCACGATTTTCCATGACTATCCCCAATATAACTTTTATTTCATTTCACACTAATCTTTCTTAAGTATTCTGTATTCCACTCACCTTAAACTTATTTACTTTTCTCTAACATGTTTAAATTTTGTCTTCTCCATGTTTTAGCACTCATATTATTCCTTTTGCCTTAAATGCTCTTATCTCCAATCTCTATAAAAAATTATACTCATTCTCCTAGAACTATCTCCAAATTTGCCCTTCACTACAATTCTTTGTATTTTCCTTAATAAGCACTAATAACTCTTTATCATAATAGTTTTACTTGAATCTCATCTCCCATACTGAACTATAAACTATCCATAATAGTTAGTTAGACATACATAATAATACATAATAATTTAATACACAGATTTTAAGCTTCTTGATACTTAGCACCAGGCTTTCAATAATGGGCTCAGTGATGTTGGATGGAAATAATTGAATTTCTGCAGGGATATTCCCCAAAAAAAAACAAAAACAAAAAACAAAAACAAAAAATGGAATATCATAGTATTATAAGGAAGGTATTGAAAAGATAAATGTTCTGTGTGATTTGCCATGAAGATTCAAGTAAGATGACAAGAGAGAACAGAGATAGGTTACTAAAAGCTTCCTGATATTAGCTGTCATCATTAGCAGACACTGCCAGAATAATGTGCCTTCAGCTCTAAGGGGTGCCAATTAGGCAGTAAGTCATCACCAATATCCTTTCCCACTGATAACACAGGATGAGGAAGCAAAACTTCCCAAATCTTTTTTCCATGCCTTTTGCACTAGGGGTCATGCTAGAGGAGTACTGCTGGGGTGGGGAGCGGGGAGAGCTGGTGAATATTATAGAGGATTATCACCCAAGGAAAAAAAGACTAATAAAATATCACCTACTTCTCTGTCAATGCCATTTAGCCTAGTGCATATTTCTAGACTCTGAAATGGAGTCCACTATACTTTTGGGAATATCCACTCAAAGAAGATTCTAGACTCAAAAATCAGTTCCAAGATCTCCCCCAAGGTGACCTTGACTAAGGGTTAATCCCAGGAATCTACACTTTTTGAATTTCCTTAATGATTTCAATCTAAGAGAAGAAATGACAACTTCAGTACTGTATTACATAAAATATGATGGGATACTAGAATACTGAAATCTTACCAGAGTCGTTTCTTCCTTTCCCACATTTCCCTCTGGCAACAATGAATGAATTATGAATCCAAACACTGTATGAGTAGGTTTCTATGGTATCTTTAGCCTGAGTCAGAAGCCACAGACATTTATCTAAAATAACTTGAGCAGTGAAGAATGTGTAACATGCTGTATCAGAATAATCATAAGTTCTTTATTTTACACAGAGACTAGAAGCTAAGAAGTTTTGCAGCCATCAAAATGCCTCTCTTAATTCAATGATATTGTTGAAAACATAAAAAGTAGGGAAAAGTGAAAAAAAAGTAGTAATTGTTCAGGTCAGATAAATTTTTGTATCTGTAATCTGAAAATGTATCTAAATAATGCATTAAATCATTATCAAGTTATTTTTGCTGCATCTTGAACATAATGCAAATCCTTTATCTTATGAATAACAAATATATATTAAAACTCTATCAACATATAATTTTTAAACTTTCCAACAAAAAGTCTAACAGAAGTTCAATAAAATATATTAGAAGCTCACCATTTCTTTTAATTACACGGGTCTGCTGTTTCATTTGATCATATGGAACACCAAAAATTTCTATAATCACTAATGTGTCAGCTTTGTTAGATGATGAATGACTACTGGGAGGCAACTGGACACCGCTGATGAGCTGTGCAAATATATTTGAATATAAGAACTTAACAAAATATCAAACTGCATTACCACTTAATTTCAAAATAAAATATGTATACAAAAAAAAACCAGAGACTCTAAATAAGTTTCTCTAAAAGAACCAAAAGTGGAAAATAATGCAAAATTTTAAATTTAACTATTTTATCCTCAAGTATTAATAGATGAATATCAGAAACATGTCTAAATTATTCCATTTTACCAATATGCAATTATAGTAGAAACCACATTGTCCAAAGTTTATGGTACAACATGTGTTTTTATTTTTAAAGTATTTGTTATGTTTGTTAAAAAGCATTACTTACAAGCATTGTTATGATCACCTTCTACTGAGTTACTCTGGTAACGAACTATTTTCAAATTCATATTGTATATATATAGCAAAAAATTGTAAACAATGTGAATACTACTTCTGAAATGTAAGAAAAAGCAACACATAATTTCCTAGGTAGCATTTTATGATAGTATAATTTATATATTTAAATAATATATCAAAAAATTTTACATTATCCACTGTTGTCCATATTATCATAAGTAACCTGAGAATTACAAAATTATTTATTTCATATGCATATTAGGGACTGGGTATCAGAAAAAAATGATTAGAAAAGTAATTAACAATAGTTTTACTTAGCCTTTTATTAGTCAAGCTAATTGTTGAAGCAAAGATTTGTTTTACTTTAAGGAACAAAATTTGAACAAAAATCAGTATTTGAAGTATACTCATTTACAAAATATACTAATGTAAACATTGAGGTATGATTTCAACTTCTGAAGATTATAATAAAGAGGAACAAATAAAAATTAAGTTTGAAAAGAAAAAGAAGGAAGAGAAGAAAAAAAAATGTCAATATGTAATTTTTCCTTTTCTACATCTACACATTATGGCATTAGCTAGACCAGAGTACTGTGCAAATATTTAACAACCAGTATGAAATGGGCATCAGTCAATTGGCAGAATTAGACATTAAAGTAATTAGAAAGAACATTGGTCATAAACAACTAGTACACCGATACCAGAGCCCACCAGCTGAATATCAGCTCTACCAACATGGAGAAAGTTCTCCCTTAGTGCACCTCATGCCAATAAAACAAAAACAAAAACAAAAACAAAAAAAAGTCTAATGAATAATAATAACTGAATGAGAACTGAAAAAGAATTTAGAGATTATTGTTCAAATAATTTGTACACTCACAAAGCCTTCAAGGGACAACTGCAGAGGACAGACGTCACAGAAAATCCTCAATGGCCTATCAGAGCAACTCTTTTCATTTGTTGGCCTTATGCATGAAATTTGGAACTTAAAAAAATGGTTTTACAGTTTTTATAAGCTTGAAAATAACTGACTTAATTCTAAACTCTCAGTCTGCAGGTGACCAAGAATAAACCAAAAATGTTGAATGGCATCATCAAAGGCATAGGAAAAGTAATAAAACTAGGTCTTTTGGTTGCCAAATCATGCCCTCTACAATTTATGCAAGTCAAAATGTAATCACTAAGCTCCCTCATATTATAGAAACAAGAGGGAGAGACACATGGCTTTGTAGCAGCTTCCTGGGAAAGTCATTAACCCTGTCTGTTTTATGCCATGTCACTTATGCCCCTACATGAGACCCCTCATACTACAAACAGATGGTATTTGGAAACATCTGTGCAGACTACCTATCTTCCATCTTTACTTTCTCAATAAAAGAGAATGTATGTTCTTTTTATTATTCTCAACCTGAAAAAGAAATCATCCATTTAATTAACCAACATGTATTGAGCATACACTTTGAGTCAAGCACTGTGAATAAGGACTGAGCAAAACACAGTCATCCTTAAAAGATCCTCAGACAAATGGGGGAGAATGACAAGTACTATAAGTAAATAAACTATTATAATACAATGTGGTAAGTGCCATAATATATGCATGCATAACATGTTGTGGGGAAAAAAAAAAGAAAGAAAAGGAAACTACAAAATGAGGCACAACCAAGCATAGGGAAAAGCTTCCAAGAAGAAGAGATTCTTGAAAAATGAGTCAGAGCCCAACAGGCAGATGAAAGATGGAAGAAGAGTCCAGTCAAAGAAAACAGTATATGTAATACATGGAGGTGTCATCATAAACAGAGATGGCTTCCTTATGGTTACAGAATAAGGTGAAGACTGGAAGTGGTGAGAGATGGGGCTACAGTAGTATGCCATGGCCTGACTAAGAAAGCAATCAGGAGACATGAATAAATATTAAGTAGGCATGATGGGGTTAGCATTGTAGCAAAATCTCTCTGGTCAATCTCTCTGGAAGATGGATCAAGAGAAGTGAGACAGGTTACCTGAAAACCCCTTACGAAACCAAAGGAACAGATGTGATGACAGGTGACAAATTCCTAAAAAAAGACAGCGGCAAATGACATCAGACCAAGGAACAGGTTAGAAAGATATCTAGAAGTAGGACCCACAGAATTTAGAGATATATTGGACATGGGATGTGAAGAAGATACTAAAGAGAAGAATGGCTCCCAGTTTTCTAATTCGAGCTGAGTCAATGAATTTGACTCAATTCTTTGAGATTTAAATAAAATAGAAGTATATTTGATTAGGAAGGGATGTTCCAGTTTTAATATTTTAAGTTTGGCAGAACAGTGATTAAATAGGTAGGGATTCTGAGTAGACTATTAAACATATGCTTTTATACTCCTCAAATGAGGCCAGATTAAAGATTCGAGCATTGTTGGTGGCTGAAACCGTGAATGTGTATAAAAGGACACAAGGAGAATATGTAGTTCTAGATAAGGATTAAGAAAAAGTTTTAGGCAACATAAATATTTTAGCGGAGGTAGAGAAAGAGGAACCCACAAAAGAAAGTGAGGAAGAATTGCTTAGGAGGTAGGGGGAAAAAAGGAGAGAAGAGCCCCAGAAGCACAAGGAGATTTGTGTGAAGGGATCTTAAAAGGTGGCTGATTCATCCTTTCTTTTCACTAGGACAACAACTAGAACTAGACTAGTTGCTTAAAATAACCAGAACAATGCAATTTTTTGCATTTTTCACTCATGCGAAGGGCAGCAAAGAGACTTTTTCCAGATATGGAAGGATGCCGAAAACACCCACCTATATTATCTGAAAAGATTAACAGAAATTTAAAAGGTATTAAAGGATTTCAATTCAAACTCAGAATATTAATGTATACTATTTAGCTTATATAATAACCAAAAAAAAGAAAAGATTAATTTTTTAAATTTTGTACTAAAGTTACAAAAAGGATACTAAGGTTATGACAACATTGTAAAATAAGCTTGAGGTACAACAACACTTTGTCAGATTCTAGAAACAGTGCCAACTAATCAATTTTGGGCTGCATCCAGTGCTGTAGGCAATTTCTACCTATCTACTATATGTTCCTAGTTTAGAGTCACAAAATCCCTAAAAACTAGGAAAAAGTCAGTTACATATTTCACTGGCACTATTTCCTGTGGTAGCCAGAATCATTTTCATCCTATTCATCTTTGCTGTACCCTCTTCTCGCATTAATCTCTGGAAAACGGTGCTTAAACTTCTTCCCATTCTCTTCTGGGACAAAATGGCTAGGACCTGAAGTGAATGAAAATGGTCCCTCCAATACACTGTGACTTTATGACAGTAAAGAGCTGAGATGGGGAGAGTTGTGAAAGAAGTCCATTCTGGAGATTCTAGAGTTTCTAGCCCCCTGACAACCAGGTTAGGGGAGCAGGAGAGTTATCAGCCAGCAGAGCCAGCAGAACTATACTCTAGACGCAATAAAACTGACCAGGGACAGCAATATAAGTATCAAAATTCCAGAGTAGAATCTGAGGTGGTTCATGTGGTTCTAGGAGCAACTAGTTAAGTAGGGAGAGAGACCAGAGACCAAACTCACCTAATTTATTTGCAAACAACAGTTACCATATAAAATAGAATTGCTTATAATGAAGTGGAGAGAAAAAGGTAGGAATTGTCAAAAGATTCAGTGACATTTAAAAAAAGGAAACAAAAATGACACAGGTTATAGAAGAATAAGAAAGTTTTTGAAAAGTATTTATGGGATACAATACATTTTAGACAACTACTTTTGTCCTCAAAATCACACAGGATGTAATAAAAAAAAAAAGTTGGGAGATGAAATAATAAGATAGTAGTCAAAGGAAGAGTACTGGGTAGAAATAAAAAGGAAGCAATATGAGGTAAATAAAAATTGAAGGAAAAGCTAATAATGCAGGTGAAAATTCACATCTACATTAGAATCAGTAAAGGATAAAATCAAATACAGAGAAAATCAAATGTAGAAGAAACAAGAAAGTGATAAAGTTGACACAAAATAGTAAACATGAAGGGAAGATACTCAAGGAAAGCATGTGAATACTATTGGTTTCTAAGTAATCAAGGAATATTCAGAGACATAAGGGGAGAAAATCCTGAACTTACGAAAGTCTAATTCTGGAGACTAATGAAAATCATATCGCTCCAAGAATTTCCTAGTAAAATTCCCTAAAGTTAAGGAGGGAAAAACAGCATATCCGCAAGGTAATTTAGTGGGCCAAACTGAGACTTCTCTACCACAATAATAAATGCCTAAAGACAATGGGATAATATCACCTTTGGAGAGGAGAAGGTTTTAGCCTCAATATTTCTATTCACAGGCTGGTAATCATTCATTCAAAAAGTCAACAGAAAGACATTTTTTGGATATGGAAGGATGCTAAAATGCCACGCACCTATAATACCAAAATGATCAGCCGAAATTTAAAAGGCATTAAAGGAAACCAATGGAATTCAAAATATCAATATATACTATCTAGCTTATATAATAACCAAAAAAGAAAAAATAGTTATTAATCTTACCCTTATCGTAAGTGTAACTGGATTACTGGTTTGTGGTATTTCATATGGATTAAACTCTGTTTCATAATCTCTTAGAAATTGTGGTTTCAAAATATATCCAGAACTACCATTATCCAAAAATTTCCCATTTTGAAGATCCATAGGCAGACCAGGGGTCTGGAAATTTAAAGCCACTGTGAGAAAAAAAAGTATTTTAACATTGTCAGGAAATAGAGGGTATTAACACAGTTAATAGATTTACTGAAACCTAATCATGAATTTTATATATTCAAACAGTTTAGGAGCAAGCCTCATCAGCCAAATAACTAATAATTTATAAAAATTTCCATCTGCCATGACTATATCAACATACGAAGGTGAGTTTCAAAGTTTAGTCTATAAATTATTTTATAGCTTTGAGTTAAGGAATCAAAATGGCACACAGTATAGACTACACAATAGCAATGTACATGTCAGATAATATCCAAGAAATATGAGAATAAAGAAAATCAGTACATTAAATGCTGGAAGGGAAGACAACAACTATATCATAAACTTTCAGGTCCAAAGAGATACTGTTATTACTTGAGGAGAACTTGAGAAAGAGGCAGAGCAATATTGTTAAAATATGGAAATACCTGCATATAAACTAGTAAATAGCCACTGCGTTCGGGATCACCATCCACACGCCAACACCCCACCACCATTATCCTGACCCTGTTCTCCCCGTCTCTGCAAACCTCCAGGCCTTCCCACAATCAAGTAGCAGGATTAATACCTGGTACTTTCTGACTGGTTAGTTCTAGTGCTATACCAACTGATCAATTTGGAACAGGGAGGATCTGGTAATGACAAATAACAAAGCTATGCAATCTCATTCACTTTTCAGCTATAAAAGCAGAAGCTGGTGTAAAGTATAAAAGGTAGAAGTCACTTAATTTGAAGAGGCCCTTAGGAAATCTTTCAAGCAAAGGACTTTATCTTCACTCTCCTCTTGCATCCATTTTGTGTTCCTTTTTCCCTTCCTACACTTTCCATGCTAACGGTTCATGAATTTACTTCCATGCCCCCAACTCTTACCTATATTTACCCTCTCCAACACGTTTAGAAATAACTTCAACTCTTGAAACTAATGACTTATTGTTATTGCCTGACCACAAAACACCCAGGGCCAAAAAAAATCTTCCTAAGGAACTCTTTTCAAGAATCTTTCATTAATTTACAGAAGTAATTCATTTTATCTTATTTTTGTGAAAAAAAAAAAAAAATCTCAGTATTCTATATAACATACCCATTTGACAACCTACATTCCAAAATTCTTGAGGATTAAAATTAGAAGAGTCTGCTCTTGTTGCTTTGGGATATATTCTGGTAACGAACTTTCTGGTGTGAAGAATAAAATCATTGGCTAAAAAAAAAAATTATTCAAACATTGTGAAAGGTTTCAAATAAATTAAATTAACTACTTTACATATTATATAATTCTATAATAGTTTTGATAATATGTATATGTATTGTCTTGGCAAAAATATTTGCAATTCATGGAAATCAAAATAAATCTGTACTTTTATGTTTGACAGTGTAATTCACTGTTACTGAGAAATTAATAATTTCTTACACAATTTTAAGCACACTCATCATTCACTTGAGAAAAAAATGATTAGATAACATATTTTGTTTTTTTTGCATACAAGTTAATTTCACTTTGACATAAGGATATATAAAATTCCAAAATAAAACGCATCCATTTTTTAAAACAAAAGTAGTATCTATCTTTCTACATTTTGCCTTTTCTTTGGTTTTCACATTAGGACAGAATCACATGTAAGTCATACAAAGCTATATGATGTCGTACAAATTAATCCAGTTGAATATTTAATAAATTCTCAGGGTTGAAAGGGACCTTAAAGTTATATGATTCGGCTTCCAACCCTAACTACCACAACATCTTCCCCACAAATTCATTCAGTCACTGAATGAGAACTATTGAAAAAGAACTTGCTACCTCCCAATATTTCTGATGATTTTAAATGTTTTTCTAAAATAAGGTCATTTGTAGTCTACACATACACACACACACACACACACACACACACAATTTGAGTTTCTATATATATTGTTTGTTTTTACTTATATATTCTTTATAAGTTTAAATTGTTATATAGTCTCTTTAAATCATTTAAGATGCAAAACTAATTTACACCCTTTACCACTGAACACCCCTTCAAATTTTTGAAACATACCACAAATTTTATGTTTCTCCAAGGTTTTTATTTTTTCACTTGGCAGA